TTGTCGTACTTCATCTTCCGGGCATTGGCTAACACAAACCTAAAATGAATATCGTTGGTATTAAAAAACATTATAATGTCTCTCTGTAAAACGGTGTCTTCTTTACGTTAACCTTAAGACGATTAAATAGTTCGTGGCTTATTTAGAGGATTTCAAGCGAAAAGCGAAAGGGTGTTCTCTGTTTCACCCTCTTGTAGTAAACAAATAAGAACTGATAAAAAAATGTGACCTACCCAACAATTATAATTTAAAATAAAAATTATTTTTTTACACTATGAAGGAGAGCAGGAAAAGCTTCGCCATGGGTGACACACCCCACGATAAATTGAAATCAACTCCCTCTATCATGTCACAGAATACTAAACCCACACGAAAATTTTATGTAACATGGTCAAAAATGAATTGTTTTTGTTATTGAAGTCAACCAGCAACGCCAAATAATTGCCCTACTTTTTGGTCCCAAGTTAAACTGGTCAAGTCAAGAAACAGATAAATTTGCTTTCTTTGCTTAAGACGATCAGTAGGAAATTCCGGGTAAGCGTAATAACTGACTTTGATTGCTCATGTTTTATTATGTCTAATCAAAAAGAAGTTGCTTCCTATTAACCCTCTAATTGTGTGGTAAGGGTACAGTTGTTTATATTGTCTAAAAAATTGCCAACGAGACAGTTACATTTGACAAAAACGTTGCAATATTATTATAGAAAAAGTTGAATTCAAGAAAAAGCAGAACAGTTTTTTTTTTTGGTTTCTTCAGACCAACGGTAAAAGGAAAAGCTGTATTTATTTTCATTCAAATTTTAAGGAAGAGAATTTGAAGGGTGAAATATATGGAAGAAAATAATAAAGCTGAAGATAAAGGAGAAGAAGCAAAGAAAAATTGGATTTACAAAGGAAGAGTAAAGAACAAGAATAAAAAAAAACCAGTAGTCCGGAAGAAGGAAAAGATGATTTTAAAAGAAAAATTGTAGTGAAGCTTAATAGGGAGATGGAGAAATTAGATAGAATAATGCTAATGTTAGAGGATATAAAGAGGGGAAATAAAAAAAGGGGAAGAAAATGGGCAAAAGCAAAGTAAAAGAGAATTGCAAGAAGAAAGAAGATGGAAAGAATTGGAACAAAAGATGGTGGGAATCCAGGAAGAAAATAAAAATATAAAAGAAAATATGGAAGAAAGAGAAATAGAAACAAGTAAAAAAGTAAAGAAATTGGAAGAAAAACTGCGATGAAAAACGGCATAAGGAAATATTTACAATAGGAAAGGACAACTTAAAAGAAGAAGTCAAAAAGATGGTATTGGGGGATTTGGAAATAGAAAAGCGTAAGGTGGAGCATGTAGACGAAAAGAATAAAGAGAATGGAAATAGAATTAGAAAAGAAAAGAAAAGAAGAAAAGAAGCGAAATATAATAATTCTTGAAATAGAGTTAAAAGGGAACAAGGATCTGGAAAGGGTTATAAAAGAAGAAGATGGTATTGAAGGTAGAGGTAGTGGAGGTATGGAAGCTTTAGAAGAAAATATATGAGGTAAAGATGAAGATGTGGGAAGATAAGATACAGATAATTAGAAATGGTATAAGGGATGATATGACCGTGGAAGAGAGAAGAATACAAATGATGCTAGAGAGAAAGATAAAAGTGAAGAAGCAATGAAATGGAAATAATAACAGATCGGGTATTGGATGAAGAAGAGGAAGAAAAAAGAAAGAATATGGACATAAAATAGGTGTGTAAAGTGTGTGTGAAGATGGAATAAAGAATGGATCAAAGAATATTAAGGAGGGTTAGCTCGGAACGTGACAGGCATAAAGAGCAAAGATAATGCTGTTATTGGGGTTTGACAGAGTAACAGTAACACAGTAACCGTGACAGTAACAGTAAATGTAGTAATGTGTTTAATTACTCTAGATAAAAATTAACGGTCTTAAAATCATCAATCTACTCCTCTTAACTTCATCTAATAATTCTCCAACTAGCCCTTCATGCCTGAGAAGATGCTCTACTAATCTATCCCGCCTATTCTTATTGACTTCCATATTCTGCTACTCTTTCTAATACCTTCCCATTTCTAACTGCCTCTATCCACTATATCCTTATCATTCGCCTAAGATAACGCCCCATTCTAATTGACGTTCTTATTATTTTAGTCCTTAAGTATCCAAAATTTCTATTAACTGGTATTTATTGATCATTATGATCCATTTGTACCAAAAAAAGTAAACATTTACAATTTCAACGCGAGTCGCTACGAATATGGAATACGTCAAAAAAAAAACCTAAACTCACCATTACTTTTCGCAATCGGGTGAAAAAATAATATGTGATATGTGATGTAAAATGACATAATAAAATGGACCCATTTCTAATCTGACACACAAGCTAGTAGATATATAGGTAGGTCCTGTAAATAAAACTAAAAATCTTGCCTGTTTAGTAGGACATCCTGTAGTCAATACGTCCCGACTAATACATCTTGTTAAATCAAAGAATACCAAATACGGTCGGTCTATTACATCACTATCTACTCCACATATATTTCCATTGGAGTCTTTTGGATTTATTAAAACCGAAATGTTTCCTTTGGTCAAAGCTAAAATTGAATAAAATAAGCAATAAATGAATGTAGTTTTATCGTCTATCCAATTAATTATTATTTTTCTAATTACCCAAGAATCCAATAAGCGCCCAGCATACTAAGAAAACTATAAATAATAACAGACAGAGTACATCTGTGCAGGACCTTCTTTCAAGAGGTCCTTTGAAGCTAGGATCATATGTTGCAGGAGATCCTAAAATAGATATTGTTTATTATTGTTGGTGCAAATACGTTCTTTCATATCGTATTTTCGAATATAGATATTGTTTTTGGGCATTTTTGTAATTGCACATGTAAACTTGGCTTCACCACCTAATAAGTTACAAATATCTTTTTGCTATAGAAATGACTCATAGAGAATTCCAAATAGTAAATTAGGTACGAAGAATACAAAACTCAATTGTTTAAATAAGAAATTATGTAGTCCTATTGTACGTAGAATAAAAAACAAAACAGGCAAAAGGTGATTTCACAAAATTTTTAATTAGCTATACATATTATATTATTAATTATATTAGTGGCTGATTTTAGGTATCTAGGAAGTCAGATAAGTCAAGATGGAAGGAGTAGTAAGGATATAAAGCAGAGAATAGCGCAGGGCCGAGTCGCATTCAATGCAAAGAAATCATTCCTACGCTCGCGACCGGTTAATTTAGAAATTTAAAGAAGGTTGTTAAAGGTGTATGTCTGGAGCACGGCGCTGTACGGGTGCGAAACATAGATAGTGGGCGCGGTGGAAAAGAAAAAGTTGGAAGCGTTCGAAATGTGGTGTTACAGGCGAATGATGAGGATAGCGTGGATAGAAAAGGTTAGAAATGAAGAGATATTAGAAAGAATAGGAAAACAGAGGACTCTATGGAAGTCAATAAGGAATAGGCGAGATAGGTTAGTAGGACATCTTCTCAGGCATGAAGGTCTAGTCAAAGACATATTAGAAGCAGAAACGGAAGTTAGGAGGGGTACAGGTAGACCTAGATTAGATTACTGTTTGCAAATAGTTAAGGATGTGCTAGTTTTAGTAAAATGCGAAGATTAGCTAAGGATAGGAAAGAGTGGAGGTGCGTGTCCAACCAGTCGTAGTACTGACCAGCTTGTTATGACGATATTATAAGGGAATATAAGTAAAAATAGAAGTAGGTTATTTTGCTTGTTAATCATTTTAATTTTATTATCTTACTTTATAATTTAAGTGCAGTAGTTAAAGGTAGGAGATATGCGATGAATGACAAAATGTAAATTGTGCCGTGGTATAAATTGGCATTTTTAGTATTTTTATGCCGTACTTTTAATTGTATTTCAATAAATATTTAATTGTTACACTTGGTCGTTTTGATGTACTTTTGCATCAAACATTTAGATTTCCATCCTTAAAAATCTTCAAAAGTAAATTGAATGAAGAAACTTTGCTAAGCAATTTCAAATAATGTGCATGTTTGTGAATATTACCAAAATAGAAACCCTAATACCAACCGTTTTTATACCTGAATTCAATACGACTAAACACTAATCAAAATATTTTGCTTTGAAGTAGGTATAGATTATTAATTGATTCAACAATTAATTAGTGGTGATGTAATCAGTTACTAATTTTTAGATAATTCACTGATTTATTTTAGACCATTGCTTAGCATTAGGGATGACAACGTTTGATTTCGGGTCTGTCTACCCTAATCCATGCATTTCTGTGTTTTCCTTAGATTATTTAAGCAAATGCAGGGGCAGTAATGGTATTCCACAGAAAATCTTTTGTTTCTACTTTTGTCTTCGTTTCGTCTATCTCATCTTTCTCATCCCAACCACCACCCACCCCTCTCTACGATTCCTAAAGGAGGCTAAAGAGGACCTCCCACCCTACTATCCGGTGTAGTCCGAAGGAACTACCCGTCGACCAGCATTAGCAATTAGTGAGAATTAAACACCCAAAAAGTTTAAGTTTAAAATAATTGATTAAATGGATGCAAACGCTCGCCTGATGTAACTCATATTACGTTAAATTAAGGTTGATAATAGCTCATTTCGGTCAGATACCTCCTACGAAACACTCTTTGGTGAAATTTGAAACCAACATAATGATTTTCCTTTCCAAATGCATTTTTAAGCTACTATCGCGGAAAAAAAGGAATATCTTCACTGCGCCCAGTTCGAGTCGCGAAAAATACTTTTCCGTTTCATCATCTGGTCTACAAAGGAGTATGTGGTAAAAATTTAATGCCTCTCGAAGAGTATCTTTTTTCTAGCTCAAATATTACGCTTATTCAATATAATATGTCTTATATTATTAAAACACTAATCGTAAGTATATTATCGCTGCTTACTCTGAATACTCATTATAATGTCTGAAAGATATTTACACGAGCATGTACTTACCACTTTATTTTTAATTTTGTAATTGAATTTATCAAAAATGTTGAGTACCGTTTAATGTGGAGATATTTCATGTCATATTATCATTGTTACGTATTTGCAATTATAAAGTTGATATCAAAACTTTGATGGTATGATTCAGACGATAAATATGAACAAGACATTTATGACTTTTTTTTATCGTGAAGTGTTTGCTATTGTTTTGCCCAACTTTATTGATAGATAAAGGAATTATGATATTTGCATTAATTCGTACGTCATTGGCACTTTTGTAAATGACAAAATCGACGGTTTGTAGCAAAATTAATTGTAGGAAGAGAAATCAGAGGTTGGAAGGCGCTTCACCAAAATTAACGTTATTTGTTGATTTTCTAAAATATTTTTTATTAATTTGTGAAGACTTTATAACGTCTGCTATAAGGCAATACATGGGAATCAATAATTATTTTAATGATAATCGTGAGTCGATTACTGGAAGGGTGCCAAAATCCACCCTACCTTAGGTAGCCAATGATTGTAGATACCCATCTCGAAAACGTTTGTTTGGAATTTTAGATTTACTATAGATCACTTTACTATATAAATCTTACCATTTAATAGTTTCGAAATATGAAAAATAAAATGCGAAGCAAAAATGATATCATTTGATCCAATCATTAATTTGCAATAATGTGTAGAACTAAGCGAAACCCTATTGCATCTAATGATCTAACTCTAATTTTAATAACAATATATTGAAGCAAAATAGTTTTAACATAAAGAAGCGAGGAGCTGATCGGAGATCAACAAACTTTACTAATTTCTGATTATTATTATAAAACCAAAACTTTTATAGTACCTGAAAAAGAAAATAGGAAATTGTGAAACTCATTGATATCATGTCGATAATATTAAATAGAAAAAAATGTTTCTTCCCTTACTTCCAAATTGAACGGATAAAGTTTTTATTTATGAAGGAAAGGATTCAAGGCAATTTTTCTCTGCTTCTACTGATAAGAGGAGGTCTTAACTTATTGAAAACATTTGTCAAAATACTTTTCAAAGTAGGTTTTAAAGACATAAAATTTCCTAACCCCTGCATCCAATGGAGAATGGACACCCCTTCTAAGAGTGTTAATACAGATATCCTATCTAGAGAAAATCGAACTTATTATAAGTAAAGACCACATAACTTTCTGCAGGATGAGTTTTGTTTAATCACTAATCAGGTAAATTTTATAACACGCCAGCTATCTCCAACCTGATTATTGCGCCTGTTTAAACAATTAGCAAGGCTGGTGAAATTGACACAACTAATACCACTAAAAATCAGCAACCTTGCGATAGGTACTTGAAAAATCGTGCAGAAAAACATACACCTTTTGATTGAATGTGTAGAGATGTGCAAAATGGTTTTTAAAAGTATTTAAATATTAAATTGAGATAAGGTCACATTGAAATTCAAACAGTGAAATTGTAACAAACGAAATAGAGAATATATACGATTCCCCTATTGTCAGAACGTGTGTAAAGTATTTGCACCCCCCTTTTACATCCCTCACCCTAAACCAAAACAATATCTTTATTATTTAAGACCGAATTGTTGTTACTCAGTTATTAATCCTCCTTCTGAAGATGGCCTTGTAGGTCGAAACTTGTTAAGAATTTAATAAAAATTAAGTGAGTTTTCAAAAAGTATTTTTTTTTACCAAATATCATTTAAATACAAAATTCAAATACCTTTTTGATTTGTTATTTCAAATGTAAAATACAAAATATACGAGGGTGGATTGATAAGTTTCCGGCCTGACCAAGAAAAACAAGGTTTTTAAAAATTTTTTTTTTTTATTTCTCAACATAATCTCCTCCAAGGCTGATACATTTCTCATAGCGGTGTTCCAGTCTATTAATGCCATCTCTATAGACTGATTCGTCAAGCTCCTCAAAATAACCATTTACAGCTTCGATTACTTCTTCATTGTCCGCAAATCTCTTACCGCCAAGCCATTTTTTGAGATTAGGGAACAGAAAATAGTCACTCGGGGCTAGGTCTGGAGAGTAAGGAGGGTGCGGCATCAATTCAAACTTTAGATCGTTGATTTTAGCCGTCGCAACGATTGACGTGTGCGCTGGTGCGTTATCGTGATGAAACAAGATTTTTTTCTTCGCCAGATGAGGTCGTTTAATTTTCACCTCGTGGCTCAAACGTTGCAATAAGTCTGCGTAGTATTGACCAGTGATAGTATTACCCTTTGCAAGGTAATCAATGTATATAATACCTCTTGCATCCCAAAAAACAGTAGCCATAACCTTGTTCGCCGAAAAAATTGTTTTTGCCTTCTTTGGAGTTGGTTCCCCTGGTCCAATCCACTGTTTAGACTGTTCTTTGGTTTCAGGAGTGTAGTGGTGGACCCACGTTTCGTCAACGGTTACGAATCGACGCAAAAATTCGCTTGGATTACGCTTATACAATGACAAATTTGCGGTAGAAATGTTTTTTCGAATCAATTTTTGGTCGACTGTTAGCAAACGCGGCACCCATCTTGCACAGAGCTTTTCCATATGCAAATGTTGGTGCAAAATATGTTGCACACGTTCATATGACATCTTACAGGTCTCAGCTATCTCACGCACTTTCAATCTGCGGTCTCCCAGCACTATTTGATGAATTTTTTCGATCATATCTGGAGTTGTGACCTCAACGGGGCGTCCTGAGCGAGGCCCATCAGAGGTGCTCACACGACCCTTTTTAAACTCGGAAACCCACTGCTTAACGGTTGAATATGACGGGGAGGATGTCCCCAGTGTTGAGTCCATCTCTTTTTTAATTTCCTTCGGCGTTAACCCCTTCAAATAAAAGTATTTGATGACAGCACGATTTTCCTGCTTTTCCATTTTTACGAAAACCACAGAGGCGTCTTGTTCAGCGTGCTGTCAAACCTACACTAGCAAGGAGATCGGGCTGAAACTATAGCTACAAGCTATCCAAGGATGGTACTATAGAATGTCACCTCAAGGTAGGCCTAGTGGCGTCATCTCTTGGTTAGGCCGGAAACTTATCAATCCACCCTCGTATTTCCCTTTTGTATTTTAAATGCTAAATGCAAAATTCGTATTTTCAAAATACCTATTTAATTTTCTACACATACTTAAGTAGGCGTAAAATATTTTTTAAGAAAACCTTGCAGGCATTTTCTCATTTTTAAAATATTGGAGTTTTTCTATACTAATAGTGGTCTTTGTATTATATCACCAGTTGCGAAGATGGAGTATGATTCATATTTTTCTGTTTGAAGTGATTGAGGTATGATGGCTTTTCTATCTTTATGTTATAGTTTCTTCAGTTCAGCAACAAATAATACTTCCTTTTTGTCTTTGTCACCGTTTTAATTGGAAAAAAACACTGATGCCAAAATAGTTTGCTTAAAGTGAAAGATCAGTGCCAAAATACGGTTGCAAATAATTTTATTGATGTAAAATCATCATCAATCATTTTATATCAAAATTTTTACCGCCCCATTTTGTTTTTGATCTTTTACACATTGTAATAAGAGAAAGAAATGGAATCCATAGTTTGTTTAGCTTGGGGTTCATCTAATAGGTAAGTGAAGTTTTTCGAATCGTTTTCTAAGAATTATGGATTATACGCATTTATTAGCACACCACAATATCTTGTAGTTTTCAGTTTTACACAGCTGGCGTATATCAATACGATATTGTTTTGTGGGCTGTTTTGTCGTACTTCATAGAATTTTGTAGTTTCTCGTTAACGGTACGATAAGTAGTGATTTGGCAGGTGCTGATATCAATTTGGAACTTCAAAATTCCGTAGACCATGACATTGAACCCAAAAAACAATATTTTCTATTATCCATTTCCAAGGAGTTTAGAATTTTTTGGGCTCTCTTCAGTTAAAGAATTAGAAGGCATTTAAGGAATGTCTATTTGTCCTCTTTTAAGCTTCTAATACATTGAAAGGCCAATGTGAGCCACATTCGTTTATCATTTTAAATAATGTTTAATCGGTGATACTAGCAAAACCTTTAACGGCAAAATTTTTTTTTTGCATTTTACAAATAGAAAATACGTTTGGGAAAATGCTTTTCTCAAAAAATTATTTAAATGCAAAATAAACATACTTATTTTTTATTTTGTATTTGCATTTTAAATGCAAGTATTTCAAATAAATCACATCTCTGGTGCCCTTTTCGATCCGTTCTCTAATAATTCTAAGAGAAGTAATGTGTACTACTCAATTCCTTTAGACATGATTTGACTTCCTTTGTAACACTTAAAAAGTGAAAATACTACATCACTCTAAATATACGTACGTTCATTGAGCTCATAGTTTACTATGATTACTGATAACAATTGATTTCTAGGCTACTCCTATTTTACAACGAGAGTAAGGCAATACGCTGTGTTTAACTTATTATTTTTTTATTTTTATTATCTAGTAGGTACTTTGTGGTAGGAGTCGGGATTTTTCAAATTCAAGTATTCAAATATTTGTTTATATTTTGATTTGAACATTCAAATTACCAGATATTTAAATAGTTGTATCAAATATTGATCTATTTGATATATTTTTAAATTTTCAAATACCTATTCAATCAAAAATTGAATATTGAAGTATTTGGCTATTTGAATATTTGTATATCAGAGTATTTAAATTGTTTCAAAATATTTTAGTTATGATATTCAAAAAGAAAAATCCCAAGTTGTGAGCCCTACAATGAGCGTAATTATTTGTACTTTTTACAAAATATTTTACAAACATCGCGTACATTAATATGGGAATATAATAACATACACATGCATAATACAGTTAGTTATATAGTGTAATAAAAGTGTAAGTACTTAATTCATTCGTTGTTATTTGCAAAAAAAAGAACAATCAATTTTGATAAACATCATTCACATATACAGTTACTTTCGTAGATACCACGTATTGTATCCCATTTTAAATTTGTATTCATTCAACGGTTAGTTTCAGTTACTTTACTTTAAGTTGAATAAGAAATAAATAAGTTTGCAATACCTACCAAAATCGTCAGCTTTCCTAGCCATTTGAAAGTGTTCGATGTATCACTATTTCGCTGTGTTTTTGTTACCGCACACCGTCTGCTTCATTACATACTAAAATTTCATCGCAGGTAAATATTCAACCCACCTGAAATCATATCTTATCGTTCATTATCAACGGTATCGGTTACCTTATCTTTAAATTTAAAAGATTAATAACTTGTAAATACCATGCAGAAATATCCACGAATTGTTATGATTATAACCAAATCAAAACAACAATTTGAAGTTAATTCTAGATACGTAGGTATTCGTCATATCTCCCTGATTAAAGATGAATATTTATGAGTTCCCTGAACTTACTAGGTGAAAATACATTTTTTGTATTGCAAAAATTTCGCACAAACTTTTTGAACTTCTTTATTGTCAAATGTCGATTTTACAGGTAAACGAACAATAAATCTATTTAACAATGCACAAGGAAATCGCGTTGACCGAATATATGTAAAAGTCTCTTAACAAAGGAATATGAAAGTTGGGAAACTGGAAATAAAATCTCATTTTCGATTACTTATTTATAATGAGTAGTAATTGAAAATAATATTAAGATGCTTTTTAGTGAGCCGTTTTTCCGCCGTTATACAACCTTCTTTTTAATAATACGTTCTTAAAATAAATTTAAATTAGATCAAAACGTATTAAAATCTATTGAAATTCAAGTGGAGACAGTGTGTCGCCATCTAACGGGTATTTCCTGCTACTGAAGTATTTCATCAACTCACCCAGCTAAATCGATAAGTTAGCTTATACACACGATTGGCACGCAAATCATATAATAAGAATATTTATTAAGTTCTCGATTAATCGAAACCACTAGTCATAGATCGCGATCTCGATCTTATTCTATAGATCTCATTCACATACACAAAAGTGCAAAAAAATACCTGATGAAGTATACCTACTGTCTTGGGCTTTTTAAAATAATTTACATCTTATGGGAAAGATAGAGAGGGGGTTTTAATGAATTTTACAGCTTAGCTACTATGATAGTTTAGGACAATCGTTCATAAAAGGTCAAACCATTAATAAAAAATTGAACCCTAATTATTCATCAATTGGTTTATTCCTGTTTCCTGAGTCATTTTTTTTGATTATTTATTATCATTATTACCTACACGCGTATAGATACTGTCTGATCACGCAAAGCAGTCTGACTCGTTTATTTATTTAGATATTTTACACAATTTTTAAATGTAGCTATTGTTATCCGAAATGTCAGATGGATTGTCAGATATACTTTTTGTTTAAAAAGCATGGGAAGATACGGCAAATCAATATCAATTACTCCTTCTACGCACGAAAGTGAGGTGACTTTCGAGAGAAAAAGTTGGGCAACCATCAAACTATTCAATGACGAAAAATGGATAATGAAATTGGATTCTTTGTCTGATATATTCGATAAACTCAACGTGATCGACAGATATCTACAGTTAAGAATGGCAATCACATTTACAGTGAGAGACAAATATCTTCTCTAACGATGAAAAACAAATTTGACAAAAAGGTTACGAATGTTTTCCTCTTCTAAATAGATTTCTTGTAGAAAATGAGGTACAAATATCCTCAGATATGGGTAAACTCATAAATGAAGATCTATTAAATCTTGAAGGAATATTTTCCAAGGAAGTTACAGGACAGCCACTGAATACAGAATACATTTGCAAATCAGACTAAAGCATCAATGTTAATTGTGTTGGACGTATTAGAACTTGATCGATGTTAAGAATTCTTCCTCTCTAAAACAAAAATTCGAATCAGCTGCTTCAAATTTGAATGACCTTTGGATCGAACTTAAAGACGAATACTCTGCAGTCGTTGAGAAGGTTATCACGGTTACCGTTTCGGTTTGTATCCACTTACAAATTGCAGGCGATCTTTTCAGTTTACGCCTACATCATCATCATAAGGTCATCAATCCTAGGACTGGTTGGACATGCACTTCCACTCCTTCTTATCCTGAGCTAATTTTTTCATTTCTCTAAAACTAGAACATCCTACATCCTTAACTATTTGCGAACAGTATTGTAATCGAGGTCTACTCGTCTTAATAACTCCTGTTTCTACCGCTAATATGTCCCTGACTAGACCTTCATGCCTGAGAAGGTATCCTACCAACTTATCACGCCTATTTCTTATTGATTTCCATAGAGTCCTCTGTTCTCCTATTCTTTCTAATACCTCTTCATTTCTAATCTTCTCCATCCACGGTATCCTCATGGTTCTCCTGGAACACCACATTTCGAACGCTTTTAATCTTTTCTTTACCGTCGCGCCCACGGTTCATATTTCGCACCCGCATAGCGTCGCGCTCCAAACATACACCTTTAGCAATCTTTTGTCTAAATTAACCGTTCGCGAGCCCAGAAGTGACTTCTATTTGTTGAAGGCGACTCAACCCTGCGCTATCCTTTACTTTATATCTCTACTACTCCTTCCGTCTTGACTTATCTAACTTCCTAGATACTAAAAATCAGACACTTCTTCTAATTTTTCATCTCCTACCTTTATATTCGTTATTTCCCTCCTTTTTCTTCCCTTCCATATAATTTTTTATGTTTTATTTTTATTTATTTTNTTGTTTTACTTTTATTTATTTTCATAAAATACTGTTTTGTCAATTCCGCTTCCAACTAAAAACAAATTCAGAAGTAGTTTGAATGCCGCTCCGGATATTCAAATTCAACAGTTCTACATTAAACCTAATTTTTTTTACAATAAGTAAAAATCTGCACACGAAATACATGCAATAAAGTTTTTGAATCCAAAATTTAAGTTGAAGATTACAAAATGTACACAATAAGATGTCAAGAATGTTAGGTGCTACATAAAACTATCGTCAGCACTTTTTTGGCGAGACTGAGTTCCGCCAAAAAAGGGTGGGTCAAATAGGCTTCCGTAACAAAAAGAAAATAACCGCTGATCTAGCATAAAATTATTTTCAGTCTTTTGTTTTATAAAATGTATTGTAAAAACTATGAAGTGACATACATTGGGCAGTCGGGAAAAAGCATTTCAAAATTAAAAAAACATGAAAACTTAGTCACAGACAATATAAAAAGTACAGATATTGCCTCTCATTGTTTAGAAAATATTCATTCTTTAGAATAAGAAAAACAGATTTATTACATGACGAAAATTGAGGATAGACATCCTAGGTTAGATCAAAGATCACCTAGAACAACTGGAAATTCAAAAATGTTTTAAAATAAATGCTTTGATAACTAAATTTTATAATATTATAAATGAAAGTGAATTTGTTTGTTTATTACGATTTCACGCCTTAACTACTCTGTTAGGTTCCACCCTGCTTATATGTATTTTCAACGCTCTGTGTGTGTATTAACTTTTAGCCTGTATTGCGTTTGTAATATCATTTATCTCATTAATTGTCTATGCAATATTCATATTAATCAATGTATGACCAATAACGTTTTGCATAGCGAAATCATACTGTTATATGAAACAGTTCTCCTAAACCATTTATTTTAATCGATGCATTACCAATATTTTTATGAAGCAGAACCAAACTTTATTATAAAAGACATTTTCGAAAGAATGATAGTTAGTTAGTTTTTTGACTAGTATGTAACTAATACTCAACACTCAACTCGACCCATGTAAGTTCTTTTTGTACACCTTTTAATAAGAATTAAACTGTTAGTAGTTTTGCCACTTGGTTTTTTCTTTAAACAATTCCACTACAAATTGGAGTTGCAACAACTCAACCAATCGTAACGAAATTTGGTACACTCATTAACAGAGGTTCAGAAATGGACATAGAGTACCTTTCATCCACAAAGAAAAAATACCATTATTGTAACTTTACGTAAAGTGAATGTTTAACATAGAAAATTAGAAACTTTAGTTTTATCCTAATGATCCTGGTCAGGACTAAGAAGCAAATTTATCAAATTATTGTAATTTCGATGATCTTTGTCACGTATTTAGGGCATCAAATCGTGCAAAGCCGCGGGTAAAAACTATTTAAGAATAAAACTTTGAAAATACCATTATCCTAGATTTTACACTAACTAAGCTGTAAGCTCACTTTGCAATCCCTTATGCCTTTCCCGTAGACTCTCAAATTAGTACAAATAGCTTTAAGTATTTCTTTGTACTCTTGAAAAAGGATTAATCGTTCAAAACAATTGTGAAGTTGTTTTCGAAACATTTTGATGCATTCTTATCTAAGTTTTTATAAACAAATATTAATTTCATAAAGAACTATCTCATGATTTCTTTAAATTAACTCGAAGTTTAATCAAAAGGATGTGTAAGAAACCCATGGATTTTACCGGTCAATAACTACCTCAGGTTACTTTTGAGTTAACTCGTTCGAGGGTGCATTTGGATCACCCTTCATGTTGCGGTCCTACTTTATTTCGTTCGTGTTCGTAATTTTAATTCAAATGTGTAAATACATGCTATAATAATAATTTGCAAACAGACATACATTTCTAGTTCTGTTTAGTAATTCAAGTATTTTTTAGTTTTGTAATGCGTTCAGTAATAAATAGGATGGTAGGTATTTAAATATTTTGTAGGATCAATATTTCAATCCATACGGTTAGTATTCAGATACATAAACCCATACGATCAACATCCTTCGATGGTTAGGTACTATTTACATATAATATTTTTAACAAAAATGAAACGAAATAAATACTTAATAAAAGAAAATTAACCGTTATTAGCAAAGTTTGTTTTAAAATAGTTGCCATTTATAAATATACATACATAGATACACAAAATAGAAGTGTAGAAAAATTTATTGCTCGTATATTTACCTGTATTTTCCGAACCGTTTATTAATAGACCACTGCGTATACCTACATTTAATTCAGAACTATAAAACCATAGTATGCTTTGTAACAGATACAGTTATGCAGCACAGTGTTTCGCTGTAAACCACGTTTTGTTACCAAAACATGTGAAACGAATGAATGCCTATATCAGATTTAATGATTACAAAATGTGTCTTACTACGAAAATATTTTAGAAGCATAATGATTGGTTTTTCAAATTTGGCTGCTGTCCAATAGTTAAATTAATCTTCAAGGGATCTGTT